TTATGAGACTCCCTCCCGAGTCCCAACCTAGGGCCTGTCTCTTATACACATCTAGATGTGTATAAGAGACAGGAGAGAGAGAGAGAGAGAGCGAGCTTGCCTTCCCGCTACCAGCAATCACTCAATCACAAATGAAGGATAAGCGAATGAAGAATGACTGATTTACTAATTTTTTTAATAGGCATTCAGAATGTGGCCACTTGGTGGTCGGTAATTGAGTTAGGCCTGGACACCACAGAAATGCGGAGGGAAAAACAAGTGCCGCAAAGCAGTTTCCGGGACCCCAAAACTCGCAGCAGACGTGCAGGAAAAGGTGAAATTTCTTCCGCAAACTCTTTTCTGGGACCCCACTTACCGAAGTTTGGGCCCCCGAAGCAAATCTTCTCCTGTTTTCACACATTGTCTGCGGCCTCGAAAAGTCTGTCAGATTCCCGGCCTCCTTTGGATTTCTTGTAATGAAATCGAACTTCCATTAAAAAAAAAAAAAAAACAAGGAAAAGTCTGTCTGTAGGATTCCTCGCCACAAATTGTGCTGATTGTAGAGGGTAGGGGGGTGGTGAGCGTCTCCAGAGTTCCCAGGTCAGGTCCCCCACTCGGACTTGCTGCAGTGTCCGGCCATGTCACCCACTACGGGAGCTCGGTCATTCCTTCTGTCCACCTCGAACCGCTCTCGGTCACGCCAGCACTTCCCTTTTTCGGGCTGTGGCTATCGACCTTCCCTATTATGGCAAAAAAGGCAGTCACTTTGCCACAAAACTACCATCACGGTGGGGTCCCAACAGAACTACAATTTCTCTTTCCAAAATTGTTTCCCCGCATTTCATGGGCAGACGTCTTTTCCATCCGCATTTCTGTGGGGTCCAGGCCATAGTATATAGTACTATATAGTATATAGTCTATATAATAATTAACGAAGGATTTCATCAAGTAAATAGTTTAAGAAACTATGCTACCAGCCGGAGCACCCCGGGTTGCCTCACACTGGCCCGGGTGGCCCGGCCGGGGCAAAGTCCTTGTCAAGGTCCCAGAGAGCCCCAGCACAAAAAAAAAAAAAAAAAAAAAAAAAAAAAAGTGTTTAAAAATCTGAAAAACAACTATGTTATGCAGAATGGCAAATCAAACAACTTTTGACTGAGGGTCACCCAGGAATTCGTTATGGAATTTGAAATAACAAATAAAAATTTAAAAATAGAAGTTACAAATTTACAAAAAAACATTATAATTTAAATTATATCACACGGATTCAAGCCCCCTTCGCACCCCTTTTATATACCCCATAGACACCCTTTGGTGAGACATCACCAAATTCTAAGGTAAGGCCGGATTTGGGCACATCTCCGTGGGCGCAGAGTTGCCCCGCTGCCCAAACAAAAAAAAGAAAAAGACCTTGACCCCCCTTTTGGCGTCACCTGGGTACCCCGGGCAACGTCCCCTCCTGGGCGGATTTGCCCGGCCATTTCCTTTCCCGGGCTGGACGACTCTGGCAACCTAGTTAATTATTAATAAACTAATAGCAAGAATAATTCACTGAAGGACAATCCTGAGATTCTGACTACTACTGGCTCCCAAAGCAGACTTGTATTTTTGAATCAATGAGGGTACACTCAAACCTAGGACTTTCCAACATATTTGTGGAGCACTGTGGACATCATTACGGTCAGGTTCATCCAGGCATGCACGTAAAAGCGGTCAGATGCATCCAGGACAGTAGTCGTGTGACTTTGCCCTAACACCAGCAAAATAAGCAATGATAAGAAAATGGGGTAACTGGATGGCAGGGGCTAGGGAATGGAGGGAGACTCCACTGGTGCCCCCCGGTGTTTCTCTCCCCAATACCCGACCCTGCTGCAGGATGGGTGCGGAAGAGTAGATTGGATATGGGATGCTGGACACGGTTTCCAGCACAATGGCGTCACTTTCAAGATGTACTATTTTGTAAAAGATGTAATTAAGGGACGCTGGACCCGGTTTCCAGCAACAAAAAAAAAAAAAAAGGGGTAACTTCAGTACAGTCACAAAAAACAGTTTGAAACTACACTTCGGGCATTCCCCCGAACACAACATACCGCCCCGTAACCCTACCTGACCGGAAAGCTAGCTTGTATACATTGCCCAAAGTGCAATTTGAAAATGTTTTTTGCCCAAAATGTAATTTCAAACTCTTCTTGTAACCGTCGCGTAGTTTCCTGTAAGAAAATTGCGGCAACTTCATAGCAGTGGCACACGACAGTTTTTTTTTTTTTTTTTTGCGCCCAGGTTGTTGTAGAAGTTGGATGTTAGACATATGAAAGCCACCTTTTTTCTTTTTCTTTTTTTTTTTGACAGCCACCTTCAGTAGTCGCCCATTTGGTTACCCAGACTGGTCTATAGAGGTCCTTATCCCTTATGAGACTCCCTCCCGAGTCCCAACCTAGGGCTTTCCTGGATGTATGGGACAGCGTTAACAGCCCACCGACTTAAGGGGGGGGGGGGGGGGGGGGGAACTCATGACAGCATGCCCTGAATACTAACAACCCTGGGTCTCCTTCCTTTTTTGAGGTAAACAAAAAAGAAGTAAAATTTATCCACCCACTGACCTGGTTCTCCGGGATCTTCAGAGAGAACTGAGAATAATCGAGAAAATTCTCCCAAGGGAACTCAATGTTGTCAGCAATGACCACAGGAATGCAACGAGCCATAATCGCCTGCAGGAAAGTGTAGAAATAATTTTAAATTATAAAAAAATATCAACAAAAGAAAAACCATCACGATATTAAGGGGGAAAAAAAAACATGTGCGGGTCAAATATCAGATGCAACAAACGACGGTGATCGGTAATTTGGGGCATGTAGTAGGTATTTTGTGGATTAATAATCTGTAGATTTCGCCGTGTGGGTATTTACTATTTACTATTTAGTGTAGTGTTGCTCCCCTGTTGTGGTTGTTGTTGTTTTTTTTTGGGTGCTCGCAGGACCCACCCCATTCCTACCTCAATGTTCTTCTTCCTTAGCCTAACCCCTGCTTCTACGGGGGGCACTGTTGACCCTTACCTCGGGTTTACCAGACAGCAGTTGCAGGCACCAGCGTTGTGCTTTTTGGGATGCTAAGCTAATAGATGGTTTGCCAGCTTGTTGTTCTTATTTGGAGGAGCCTATTCGAGGTACCCAGGGCATGGAGAAGGAGGGAGTTTTGTTAATTTTTATTGGAAACACCAATTGCAGGTATTTGGGCGCCACGGCGCAATCAGGACGATACTGAGGAGGAGTTCTTGAGGCAGCTAATTCAGGAGAAGTGGGAAGAGTAAAACCGAAGGAGGGAGTTGCAAGGAGAAAAGGAAAATGGATGATATTATTCGGCAGGAAATTGAACGCAATGCGGAGGGGCTATGGAAGCTCGGGTTATGTCCAAGATTGGCAGACAATATCTTGTGACTCGGGAGGAAGCAAGAAAGGAGGAGGCCGTATGCTCTCCGGCTGTCAGGCACGGGGTGTTGGTTTATGAGGATTGTGATATAGAAAGACATTGAAGACGAAATTGTGACGCCCAGCCTCACGCCCAACGCGACTTCCTGTTTTCGGAGTGATAGGGGGCCCGGAGGTGTGCTGTGGGGTTGTGCCAAGGATTTTAGGAAAGTGGGTTGGAGTCCCACGCCGGAACTGAGATCTCCGGTGTAAAGTTTCAGGGGTGGACATGCAAGTGGTTTCTGTGTAGGGCCACGTCTTGGGTTTTGCCTTTCTCAGGATCGAGCGGCTAATTTTGCCGGCCCCGCCGCCTCGGGCGGGCTCGCACCTGGTGCACTGAGGGAACACAGTGGGTGTCTCTCTGTTCAAGCACCTGTCGCCGGCGGGTTTCACAGATCTCCGAGTCCGACATGGTCGGCCTCAGCCGGAGGCTGTGTTCTTGGTGCTCCGCTTTGGAGCGGGTCCGCCACATGAATCCCGCAGCCCGGTAGGTGTTGTACTGACGGCACTCAGAGCACGGCCTACGCGGCCAGCAATGCGCGATCGAATCCGAGGGAACTACCGTCAGATGATGATAGGGGAGAAGAAGATAGAATGGAGGGAAGTCGGTTTCAATGGCGAAGAATCCCGGCGTAAGGTGGTACTGATAATTACGGGGGTCGGGGTAATCTGGGGTTCGGGGAGTCCGTCCAAGAGCCTGGTGAAAGTCCCAAGCACACAGCCGATCGTCCTCCGTTTGATAGGGGTAGGCCGGAAGCTGTAAGTTCGATCAGTGGAAGAGTTGTTCGTTCTCCCAGTATTCTCTGTACTCGGGGTTCCTCAGACTGGCACGGTCCGTGATCCAGAATGGAACACCGTCATTTATATTTGACAAGAGAGGCTTGACTCATACATTTGGTCGTGCAAGAGAGGAGGTGCCAGGTCATGCAGACATGCATATACGAGATGGCTGCCGTTTGGCAATCACTCGTATACGTGCGTGCACATGATCTGTTCCCACCTAATCCGAATTAACTCAAATAGATCAGATGGTCGTTCGTCGATCAAAAGGAAAGAAATGGACATACATTCTTATGCCTCAAATGTCAATTGTGTGCAATTCATACATGGGAAAATCCAGCTCATACTCAGGCATATACATAGAGGACAACCTACATATTATACATGCATCTGCCCTGATCCAGGTTTGGTCGCGGGAGACAGCCCGATCACACATCTGATCACCGCAAGGACATATCTGTTTTATTTAAAAAATCGGCGGGATCACATACATGTCCCCCACACATCAAATCATCAATACAATCGAAATGAAGAGGCGGGGGAAGGTAAAGATGCCTCATACATCAATCAAAGAAAAAGACAGGAAAGTCCAAAAATGCCGCAATCAAGAATGGCCAAAGCCAGAGATCAAAATTATACAGAAGATGTGAAGAAAACAATTCCCACTTCAGCACCCCGCCTTTTCTCTCTCTCTCTCTCTCTCTCTCTCTCTCTCTCTCTCTCTCTCTCTCTCTCTCTCTCTCTCTCTCTCTCTCNCTCTCTCTCTCTCTCTCTCTCTCTCTCTCTCTCTCTCTCTCTCTCTCTCTCTCTCACACACACACACACACACACACACACACAATTCCCCCGGTGCGGGCAGTCCGTCGCCTCGCACCCATCAACAACCCAAAGTTGTCAACAACCCAAAGTTGTCATCCCGCTTAGTCCGAGTGTGCAAGCCAGGTTCGCCCGTATGCCACAGTCCTTCACGGCCATACATCAACCCCGCACACCCAGCACCAGCTCGTTAGATCACCCAACTCCCTACTCACCTTTCTGTCTCCGCTCATTAGCCAATCCTCTCGACCACGCTAACTCCCAAGTGTAGATTAGAGAGCGAATTAGTCGTGCACGCGAGCTTTACTGCAGTTAGTAGGTGCGCGAGATAATTCCAGATTATGCTGAAGCGAGAAGCAGAAAGGAAGAGGAAGTGTTTGCGGGTGCATTACGGGGCCGCGCCGTGGGGGACGCAGCCTCTCCACGCATCGATCCAGTCATGCATCTGCAGGCCAATGAGATAGACAGGAAAAGAGGCGCAGAGGACTTCGCGCAGCAACAGAAAGGAAAGAGATCAAGAAGCGAGAGGATTACAGTTACACCTGCGCTGGCCAAGAAGGAGCAAGAAGAGAGATTGCAGTTGCAATTTAGAATTTAGGCGCGGCGGGAGCAGGGTGCAGAGCAGTACGCAGTAATGCACGCGCGAATAGGGAGCCCTGTGTCGTTAGAGCCAAAAAAATTACGATGCTTCCAAATTTCTATCTTAATTAAAATCCTACTTGCAAGAAGAAATTCCGAGAACCACTGTATGTTCCAAAATTCAAAACGAAATGCAAGAAACTTCTCCGCGCGGTAATCGCGCCAAAAATTCCCCGCCCAGTTGTGTCGTCATCAAACAAAAAGAAAGAAAAGACGCTGCGTCAACCGTTATTTTCTGCGCTTGCTGTGGAGCACCCTCGCAAGCGTTGTGGTCCCAGCCGAAAAAAATTAGTGCGATCGGGCCCGGTCCTTTCTTCTCCATCTCCCCTTATCTCCAATCCCCCACGGTTCTACTGCGCGGAAGATAGCGCACTTACAGAAAAGAGATCGTCACAAAATCGCCAAGTTGTATGAAATCCGAGAAAAGAAGTGGAGAGGAGGGACCATTGTCGACCGGGAGGAGAACCTTTCGGCAGCAGATCTTTTACAAAGATGATGGTTTGGTGGTTAACAATCCGCGGCCAGAATTGTCGACGATGGGGGAGGAGCGAGGTCATACTAAGATTCCGGCTGGGTGCGGTCCTGAAGGGGTTCTCGATTACGTTCTGCAGCAACAGCGGCTTCTGACTGGCAAGATTCCCGCAAGAACAGAGATCAACTGAAGGTAATCTGTGACAGAGAAGGTGTGCATGCACCACAAAGGGACCGCTATCGAGAAAATTATTGAAGAACGGGTTAGGCTAGCCTATGAGGGGTTCATCTTCACCTCAGCACCTTCCACTGCAGATAACCCAGAGGTGGAGGAGTGTACATCGTGTAAGTGAATTGGCGGCTTCGCGCGCTACAGGCTATGGCGGAACTTGCTGGAATGTATGCGTTTACGGAATCTTCTTTGGGAGATGGGTGGTTCCCCGCAGCTCTGTCTGCACTACGACAAGTGTGCTACTCTGTGCTTTGTTCGTTTAGCTATCGTAGGAGAACTGCTTTGGATGTCTAAGTTTGTTTTCCCTCCTCCTCATGATTGATTGGGATACTTGGGATCGAGGTCCGGTGGTGTATGTGCTCACGTCGCCCTGTTGCAGGGTGCAATATGTTGGATGCTCATCTCGATCTATCGTTGTTCGGTGGACTGCACACTTACGCACAGTTAAAGTCCGGGGTCTTGGTGTGTCTGTCCTAAGCTGTACCATTGGCTGGGTACGATAGGTGTGGGTAAGTACCTTACAGTTCCCATAGTTAATGGAGTAGGTTCAGTCGCTGTGGCTGAAGCGGCACTCATTAATAATTTTTTTTCCAGTTTTGAATTATCGTCATAATACGCGTAGAATACGCAAGCATTGTCGGCCAAGCCGAATTCGTAGGAAAGGTACAGGTACCAAGCCTTGGGTTGATGACCTTCTGGTGGGCGGGAGGTGTATGGTCAGATAGCCTGCTGGACATCCTGCGATATGCATTATGTCGCAATTCCAAGAAGTTCACCCTGACCACTTCTACAGGTAACTTCTGGGCGGATGGATGGCCCCTTATTCATAGATGTTTTGGGCTGACCTCAATCCGTTTCGGTTCGGCCACGTTCCCACTTAGAGAATTGAAGGATGTGCTGCAGCAGGGAGGGGATTGGCTTGTCTGTTTGGCTGTTTTCACCCCTAATGGTAGAACGGTGCACAAGGAGCACTTGAGATCAATGCTCGTCCAGCCTTGGAGGTGCCGCCTCTTGCGTACGAAACCCATTGGACTCCTTGTCAGGTGGTTTAAGGTGGCCAGAGGGTTCTCCGAACGCAATACGCGGGTTACCCTCAAGGGTGTCCTAGCTCGGGCTATTAAGAAGAACGTTGGGATCGATGTACGTTCTAGGATCGTACTAAAGTTGCTGGCAGGTTTTTTCCAGATACTTTCTTAATCCTTCTGCCAAGTTCTCTGTTTTTCTGATTCATTCTGTACAAGGGACGCTGGGCCCGTTTTCCACCAGGTGATGCTCCCCACCAATAGGTGGAGTCTCTCCCCAGGTGATAGCAGTGTCTGCTCTTACCAGCACCACTTGCACTAGAGGGAGTGTTAAAAAAAAAAAAAAAAAAAAGTTGTGCTTCGACCACCATGCTCTTACAGCTCAGGTACATGGTATTATCTAACGACTGCTTTCTGACTCCTCCTTGCCTGACACAGTTAAAGGAATTCTTTTTAGAAGTAAAGTTTGCTTTGTTTCGCGTAAGAACGTTGCTGTTCCAGGTTATTTCCGGTCTGTGCAACAACTCGCCCGTGAGGATCATCCCTGGAATCGCTGTTGCTACTTGAAACCGTCCTGGAAGCGCTTTGCTATGCATGTAATGTCCAGAATTGGGGACATTCCGAATATCCCCCGACTTGGTTGAGAAATTCGCGGAATGCCCCTTGTGTGTTGCCTAAGCAAGGGATTTTGGAACTTGGGAGGCACTTAGTTCGGATTGCGAACGACCTGCGATCTTCTTTCTTGATTGAACCCAAGGTACGTACTTATGCCGTGTTGAAATTACGATGAGATTGGTCGGGGGGACACCTTGTCTCCACTTTTGGAAGCGTGGTCCTGTTGTCTCCGGCGTTTTGTATGCATTCCAATTGATTGGAACAATGCAGATACATTGGTCATTTGCCCCGGTCTTGTATCGGCACTATCTGTTCATGACTTTCAACTGGAATCCCTCCGTTTGCTCGGTGAATTTAACTGAGTCGGCGGTTTTGGATCGAATGCGGGTGGGTCTTTCATGATCTAGGACTGGAGAGGCTCGGGAAATGTGATAGGGGAGGCCGCTTCGGAGATGCCTATGCCTTGCCTAAACATAAGGACCTCGTTCGTTGGCGCCCGATTTCTCCCACATTCGCTGAGCCCTCCCAGCTTGCTAGTTCTCGGGTTGCACGTGCTCTTAAACCACTAGTACCTTTGCCGTCCAGTTTCGACAAGTTTAAGCCTAGTCCCGAACTTTTAGGAGGCCGGGCCCGACAACAGCTACCGTTGATAAATCTGATCGGCGGCCATCGTTCCATTTCTGCCTCCTGAAAGGTCGGAGGCCCACTATTTTCCGAACCAACAAAGGTTCTAGTGCTCTCAATGCCCTTCTTTTTGCTTTTTTACCGGTGCTGTCTGGATTCAACCTCCGTGCAGTCATTGACTTGCTGCCAGGATTGCAAGCCATGGATCGGAGGTTTTCCAAACTCCACGGGTATCATGACCTGTTAAAGGCGTCTTTTTATATCAAAGACATGTCGTTTCTCTCCCACGTGCGGATATTCTGAGCTCAGTTGATTGGCTTGTGTTGTCATTATTTGAAGCGAGAGGATGCCGAGGGGTTAAGGTCTCCAAGAGGGGTAGGAAGGCATGGGTTTCTTAAGCGGGTGCAAGGGATGAATGCATTCTTGTCTCCCTTTCCGAGATACGTCTGATGGTGCAATTTGACTTGGCTTTTACTTTCTTTCATTCGGTCGGCGGGTTTCCTGCTCAAGCAAGTGGTTGGTGTTCCCATGGGTAAGGCTTCTAGTTGTCCGTTGGCTTGTATTTCGTGTACTCACGCTGAGTTTACCTTCTTGCGTGATCTGGGGGGGGCGATCGATGTCTCGTGGATGGATTTTGCATCATAGATGGCGTTTCCATCTTCGTTGCGGTAGCCGGGGAAAGTGGTTACCAGAAAGCGGAAGCTATTCTCTCCCATTTTTCATCATGCTATGGAAAGGTTCTGAGATTGGTTCGCACGGATGACAGCAGCGACCAATGGGTGTTTGCTGGAGTTGCGATTCATAGCTATGGTGGGTGTCGTTAAAAACACTGTCAGTTTATGGGAATCAGGGCCTCTCGTTTTCGGTGTTTTTTTTCCCAGGACTGTGAATCCTACTCTAGTAAGAAGGCAAAAACTGGAGCGATCCTTAGTACTCTACATCGGGTCTTTCGACTTTCATCGGACGTCCGGGGTAAGCATGAGGCCCTTCTGGCTGTTAAAAGGGAACTCATTACCAGACACTATCCCCGCAGGCTGATCTCAGGTACGTTTGCCAGGTTTGCTTCGAAGATGGGTGGTGATGCCCCCAAAATCATGGCCATGTGCACTTAGTTGGGGTTTGGCATTTTTCCAAACAGGCCTTTGGCCTGATCTTAGCACCATTGCTGCGGACTCGGGTCAGGCTTGGTGCTTCGAAGATGGGTGGTGATGCCCCCAAAATCATGGCAATGTGCGCTTACTTGGGGTTTGGCATTTTGCCAAACAGGCCATTTGGCCTGGTCTTAGCACCATTGCTGCGGACTCGGGTCGGGCTTGGTCCTTTCGTGGCCGGTTTTGGATGTTTGCGGGACGGACCTCTATCCGATTGCAGTTCCGTCAATCCTTGGGCAGTTCTTTCAGTCCAGCGAATGATACCTTTTTCAGGTGTATTGTGTTGGATGCATCTAGTTCGAATTTTTGTTCACTTGCATCCTAGTCTCTATTTTGTAATTCTGCTACAGCCATGGTGGACTTGCTGGACTTGCCAGTTTCCTTTTGACCGTTGTGATTGCACCTGGACGTTTTTACCGTTTTGTCGATTTTTTTGGGGAGTCTTTCGGGCTCTTACGGTTGAAAGGGTTTTTAGTTCTGACCCCGTCCGATGGGGGGTCCAACCGACGCGAGGGGTATTTCACAGAATTTTCTTTTCGTTAGAGGGGCATTCCGCTCTACCCACATCTTTCAGGGGCATTTTGGTATACCCCTACCGTGTTCCATCCAACTTTGCAAAATACCCATAACTTGCCAACTTTCCTTAGGCCCAGTTGCAAAAGGCCAAGGCCCAATCGGCGAGGCGGTGTATCTTCCCACGTACTAGCAGAAGATTCATTCTGATTTTGCAGAGTTGCTGAGTAGTGGAGCCAGCCCCATTGGCTGGTACAGTGGTACTGGCTGGAATTTCCCAATTGTCCTACGTAGTCCGTACCTGATAAAAGCGCAATGTCCATGGGGTCCAGCCAAGAGGGCAGAGGCAGAAGACTGACTGAGTCATCTCCTTATAGTAGCATTTGCGATCGCATTCCCTGACCTTTGTGCTGTAAATAATGTCTGCAAGGAAAAAGCACGAGCACACCGATGATGCATTCAACATTGTCAGTGGGGACAAAATGAAATGAATCAACTTCGATCAAGTTCATTAACAAGAAAGTGTAAGCGTAGGGCCTTTTGAACTACATAAGCATAATTTCCTTATTAAAAGGAAAGAAAGAAAGAAAGAAAGAAAGAAAGAAAGAAAGAAAGGGCATACTCACACTGGCACTTTCCAAAATGTATGAGACCCCAATTTCGACCACACCTGTATGCATCTGCCCGCAATTCCGTCAAGAAATATGTGACAATGTCCTAGTGTGAGTATGCCCAAAGAAAGTTTAAGGCCTGTGCTTCACCGGCTTAGATTGAGACTTCCCCTTTTTAAATTGAGTACAGCGTTGAAGCCGTGATATTTTTTGGGACTCTACCTACCGGCCCTTTCGGGGCGAAAACAGCGCCTAGCAACATGGGAAAAAAAATCAAAAAATCGTGCTCTTCATTCTCACCAGGGCCAGAATTGTGGGCTGATGCATCCACCGTTTTCAAAGGGAAAAGATACCGTAGACGGTAGAACCTACTAGTACCAAATTTGAGGAGCACTTAATCGGCAGCTGATCGTGGGGGAAGAGGACGAGAACTGAATTTTCAGCCAATCTAGGCTGAATCCCCTAAAGGGAATTTCAATTTCCCATTTTCGGCAGTGGAGCCCCTCTCAAATTGAAAAGGGGTAACTACGTGGCAGTCACAAAAACAGTTTGAATATGCACTTCAGGCATTCCCCGAGCACAACACACCCCCACGTGACCCAACCGACCGGAAAGCCAGTTTGTATACATTTGACATTTTCAGGCCAAATGCCTGGAGGGCCAACCCTGACTGTGCCGTGATTTTCCCAATTGAAAACTGGTTGTGTGTGTGTGTGTGTGTGTGTGTGTGTGTGTGTGTGCTGTCTCTTATACACATCTAGATGTGTATAAGAGACAGCCCACTGACCTGGTTCTCCGGGATCTTCAGAGAG